CCCCACGTGGCCAATACCTCAAAACGAATCTTGGAATACTAGAACAACGCAATACATACAATGGATGATTAATTATATGAAATTAACTCAGGCATTTCTCAATACGTCCTTGGAGACACCTACCTCCAAAACCGAACTCGAGATTTCTCAAACTATATCGAGCTGGTTACACAAGCCACCAACTCTCAAGGCAGAAAAATGTCCCCATAGTCTCATACTTATCCTTGGTAAACCACTTGATTCTTCGCCATAGAAAATAAAAGGATGGATGGATCCACAACTATACTTATTCGTATTGTTGACTCTCGACTCAACCATGAATTAATAAATATTCTCATACTGTTCATATATTTTATAGATCGCAATACCAAGATTATGTTAACATCATGATAACAACTTCTATAGGGCGATTAATAAGTTTGGACCGAACCCTCAAAGGAAATCTAAGGTGAACCTTGTATACCCCACTAAGTCATATCAAACTAAGCACTTGGATCCTTGCATGAGGCCTCTTACACGAATACATTTCCTACATAGTTTTCCTTTCACACTAAGAAGGAAAGCACGTACCCACATCTACTAACGCAACATAATTAAAATGAATCTTTGAAAACATACGTGACATCACATTTACGACATCAACCTCCTCCTTAGGCCTTACGGTTGTCTGATAAGAGAGAATATGTGTAGTTGAATAGATAACAAGTCGATCTACTTCTCTATTATCCTGCCCATCATAGTGTTCACATCTCTTTGAGTAGACCCTGTGCCACGCTAGTGTACTAAGATTGCTCTCCAAGGTTGAGTTCTATCATTGCTATAGAATATAGGGTAATCTCTTACAAAATACTCTGCAGATCCGCATCTAAAACATATCGTAAAGAGTTTATATCATCTCCCTCAATGAATTTTAACATAATACTTATACTTTAGATACGTCAGAACTTTATCGGAACCCCTTGTGCTCGCCAAAAATGGTAAAGCTAGTGGATCTCATAGGAACCTATATCAAATATTTAACTTGATCGGTACGATTGAATTAATGTCGCTCTCCCTTTATCATGAGAATCTCAGGCCTTTTAGACCACTAAATATGACAGATCTACCGATACAGAAGTCTATATACTCAGTTTTTCGTTCTTGCCTATCAAGCTCATTCCTATGCTTTACACCCTCTCCACAACCTTAGCCTATAGTGTCACCTTTGAAAATACCATGGGCAGTTCTACTGACAACTTTGTATGGATATCAATGTAAAGCCCCTCATGGAACCTCCTACACCTCAGTAACTCAATTTCAACTAGCTCGGGAGCATATCAGCTCAACCGAAGAAAATATCTCTTGTACTCATACATAGTACGATCCCCCTTAGCTAGCTTGGAGAACTTCATCCTTAACCCATCCATATGAGCCTTTTCGATATACTTACCTCTAAACTCACTCAGGAACTAATCCCATATAGGCATCTCAGGCTGTATAACTATCTCTACAGTCGATAAAATCACATTTGAGCAAAGTGGTGGCGCACTCTAGTTTACCCTTCGGGGTAAGGTAAAGCTATCTTAAAATCCTAATGATCTCCCTCAACAAATTATAGGTTGAAATTGGATCATAGTCATTTGAACCATAAAAGTCCAATGTCTTGTATCTTCATAGTCTCTCTACTAGAGACTCTACTGACAATATCGTACTCAGGGTGACTAATTGAATAGTCTGTAATCTATGAATAGTATCAACTATCTCTCTAAGCATAGAAGTCAAATCTTCAAAGTTCGTCTCTTAGACCCCATGGCCATTTGACGCCAGACAGAATAGTGATTATCCTGTAGGCTAGTTCCGACAGACGATTCACAAGAGAAAATTCGCCCAAAAACCAGAGAAAAAAAAGTCTCTAGGGTTTAATAAAATATTATAAAATCAAACAATGCAAAAAGCAGTCCACAAGCTGGGCTGTTATAGCAAAAAAATCGTCTTTATTCGAATTTTGCCAAAAATAGCAAAATCCCGAAAATCACTCTAAATTGAAATTCGAAATAAAATAAGCAATCTCCCAAAAATCCGGACTAAATCGGATTTAAATTGACTTCCTAATTAACAATCGAAATATTACCATAAATAGTAAAAAATAACTAAATCTAGTGATTCGGAAGGGAAAACGACAGAATTTGAGGTTGAAAAAAAGGCCACATGGAGAGCGTGCGCGTCGAAAAGAGCTTTCCGGATTGGGGTCTTATGCGCGATTCTGACACCTGTAGCCAAAGTTATGGCCAAAAGACTGAAACATACTCAAAACGACCCCAATGAGGAACATGTCACAATCAATTCCAGCCTTTGCGCTGATCTGCCAACTCATGGTATCTCAGCGCCATCAACGTATAATCTGAAAGCTCAGCATCATCTGTCTCGGATCCCCCTGCATCAGTCACCCCGGGTTGGAAAGAACTCGTCATCGAGTTCAGAGTAGTGTCATCAGGATCCACATAACAATGACTCAAGTGCTTCACATTAAAGACATCAGATGAGAGGTACAACTCTCAAATCTACCATCGAGAATACGCTTAGAACCTTCGACCATCAATTTTTTTTTGTAAACATGTTCAAGAGAAGAAGCACCATCATAATTCTATAACTATAAGAGTACTTCCAGAACCTAGGGGAATGTATTCAATTACAGTTTACTATAAGCAACCACTAGGTACTAGGACCAAATCAACCTAAACATTGATATCACTAAATGTAACACCTAAAACCCAACTGAGTTTAAAGTATCATATTCCGCTGACAAGGCAACCACTAAAATTTAAAACCTTTTTTATTTTCCTTTAAAAACACCATAAGTTCATTAAAAGACATCCATAATTGTTATAAAATACTTTTATAAATTGGAGTTTCATAACACATAGTTGAACCAAAATAATACAATCTCAGAGTTCACAAATTTTTATGCAATAATAAGAATCCTATAAATACACATGCCCGCTAAAAGTAACAATATAATACTCTAAAAGGAATGCTAGAAGTCTTGTTTTGTTGATACTCCTCGAACGACTCAACTACTAACATGCGAACAAAAACATCCTAACATTAAGCTTACAAAGCTCAATAGTATAATCGCTAATCTATAGCAACATTATGAATATCTTAAACATAAGCATGCTATAAGACATATTAATAAGTAGTAAGTATATGCATAACTGATAACTCTCCAAAACATTTATCATTTGGATCACATTAGGAACATTTTATGTTTAATTTACAATGTTTTGGATCATTTTCATTTTGGAAGTAGTTTATGGAACTTGGATTATTTTTGTTATTTTATGTTGAATTATGGTACGTTGATATTGTGGCAATTCTCTTTATTGTAGGTGATGCTATAAAACGATGTTATGCCAAATTGCTATGCAGAAATGAAAGCAACTGTTGAGTCATCAGGTGGTTATAGAGCTTTTTAGAATTGGGGCAGCTGTCAAATGGCTAAAATATCTTGAATTTGGTGGAACAATTATATTGGCTGGAGCTTTGACCTACTCGGCCTATAAATAGAGGATAAAGATCACACATTTGGCATGATGATTTTCCTTCTTCTTCAATTTTCTTCTTCACCAAATTATTTTCAAGTCACGGCTGCCTAAACCACCCGCCAAGACGTGTAGTAGCAATTAGAGAAGCATTGTCGTGTAGAAACGACAGTGAAGTAGAGTTCTATTTTATTTTTGTTCTCTTTTTTAAAGAATGAAGTGAACGTTATTACCTTAGAATATTTCTTTATTTTGGATGTTGTTATGCTACTTTGATAATTTTTGGAAATGAAAGTTATTGATTTTGCATACTACCTTCTTGTAGCATTAGTATTTCGAAAGTAAGTTAGCATATGGAAATGTGTGCATCCAATAGTCATTGCATTGTTAACTTTTTAATTTCTTGAATTGGTGAAAATTGGTTATAAGAGGTTAAGTAGTGTTAATTTTTGCAATTCCCATTAATGCAATTGCATCAACATTATCATAGTGAAAGCTGGCAAATGACAGCCTCATTTGCGAATACATTGATTTATTGCTCTCCTGAATGTTGATGTATTTCTTGACATTTCCATCCTAATTTTATTACTTTGCTACCTTCTTTTTTCTTACTATTTTATCCATACATCTTTTAGTACTCACCATTACAACTCTTTTGTGACATTCTCTCTATGTGGCTTTGATATTTGATACTCTTAAACCATCCACTTTACTACTTAAATATTATATGTATACTTGTGTGATTGTTATATCACTTATCATAGCATCAAGTTTTTGGCGGCGGCGTTGTCGGAGACCAATTGTATTGCATTAGAGTTGTTTTATTTCTTATTTTCAATGAATTTATTTATTTTTTAGTTTTTAAGTACGTCTTTCTTTTTCATTTTGATTCGGAGGTGCATGACTTGCCAAAACAATCAAGAGTTAGAGCCATTTGATCCAAAAATTGAATGTACATTACGTCAATGTTATAGACAATAAAACTGTAATCGAGTAAACATGAACACGAGTGATGGTGACAATGCTTTGCCATCATTACAACATGGTGATGAAGAATCATCGGTTGAAAATAGAGTTCATCAACCAAACTTCTATAAAATCGATGATCACAATAGACTAATTCGAAAGCACATTGTACTTGCTATGGATGATCTAAATTATGGCATCGTGAGACCTTCCATCAATGTTGTATAGTTTGAGTTGAAGGCGGTGTTGTTTCAGATGTTGTAATCAAATGGGTAGTATAACAGTTCATTTACGGAAGATCTTAGAGCACACCTTAGAGAATTCATAAAAGTTTGTGACTCTTTCATGTAGCAAGGACTGACCAATGAAGCATTGAATTTGAAGTTGTTTCCCTAGTCACTCTGTGACAAAGCTAAACCATGGCTCAATTCACTGCCACTTGGTGCTATAACATTGTGGAATGAATTGACTCAAAAGTTTTTGCTACGTTTTAACTCTGCCAACATGAATGCTAAGTTGAGAAATGATCTTTCAGCAGTCAATAAAATAGATGATGAGAACTTATATGAAGCTTGGGAGCATTTTAAGGATTTGTTGTACAAATTCCCGATACATGGTTTCCAACATTGTAAATAAATGAAAATGTTTTACAATTGGTTGAATATGCAAAAGTAAATGGTTGTTAATTTTTATGCTAATAGAGCATTGTTGGATACAAGGTACAATGAAGCCTACGAAATCTTTGAAAGGATATCCAGCAATGGCTATCAATATCCCAATACAAGGAATATGTCTGGAAGACAAAATGATACAGTGGTAGATAATGGTGCTTTCAACACGATGGCCAAACAGAATACAAAATTGATTGAAATGATCAAGAAGATAAAAAGATTGGAGGAATGTATGAGGGAAATGTTGTAGCAATTGAATCTTGCGTTTATTGTTGAGAGAATCATAATTTTGAGGAATGTCCAAAAATATCGAATCGGTGTACTTCATGAGGAATTATAATTTGAATGCCAACACCAAGACATATGAGAATACTTAAAATTTTAATTATTGGAATCACCCTAATTTATCATGGAGGAGTCAAAATATATATAATCACAATATGAAATTCCAATAAAACTTTGGGAGTACGCAACAACATTATCAACCACAACAATAATACAATCAACAACAGATGATGCCCCAACATCAATCACAATATCAAACAGTGCAACCATAATAATGTCAGAACCAACATAATTATCAAGGAAATCATTCCAACCAAGCTTTAACCTCAACTTCTCTTGAATTTTCTAAAAGAATATATCTCAAGAAATGAAGTCGTGATCAAATCAATATAACATCTCTAAGATCTTTGGAGAATCAAATAGGCCAACTAGCAAATGCTATGAGCAAGACCAAAAGGAACAATGCCTAATCACATTGAAGTTATGAAGATACATGGGAAAAGACAATATAATGAACATTGCAAGAACATCACTACACTAAGTGGCCTCCATATTGGGATGTCTACTGAAGAATCTAAGAATAATGATTATGAAAGGAATGGATAACAAGAGAAAGATAAGAAATTATAATTGGATATTGAAACACCCATTATGGATCTAGAGAGTTTCATTATTCATTATATTATTAGTGATAAATTTTTAGGAAAAGCATTATGTGATTTGAGTTCTAGGATTAATCTTATGTTATTGTCAATTTTTGGGAAGTTTGAAAGTGGAGAAGTAAAGCCCACCACTGTGACTCTCCAACTTGTTGATCGTTCTACCATATATCGTAGTGGAATTGTGGAAAAAATGTTATTTCGAGTGGACAAGTTCATTTTTCCTACTGATTATTATCATATTGGACTGTGAAGCCGAAAAGGATGTCCCAATTATACTTGGTCGATCCTTCATTGCCATCGGTCGAGCTTAATCGATGTTGAAAAGGGAGAACCTACTATGTGATGATGAACACATTACTTTCAATTTTTTGAATAATATTTCAGATGAGAATAACAATGGTGAATGTTACTCTATTGATATTATTGATGTCTTTTTGCAGAAACAATGGGATTATTGCCACAACATTAATACTACTACCGTAATGTTGTGATAATAGAGGAACTAATTGAGAATAAGGAGGTTGAAGGAAACTACATGAAAAACTTTGAATCATTGGAGTTATTATCATATCCTATTCAAGTTCCTCACCCCTCTATTGAAGAGCCACCCATCCTTGAGCTAAAGCTTTTCCCTGATCATTTGAAGTATGTATTCCTTGGATAAGATAATAATTTTCATGTTATTCTTGCAACAAATCTGGGAGCATTATAGGAGGAACAATTGCTTAATGTTTTGAGGTAGAATCGACAAGTAATTGCTTGAAGCATTACTAATATCAAGGGAATTAGTCCAGCTATTTGTATGCACAAAATATTGTTAGACGATCCTAATAGCAGTTCAATTGAGCCAAAAAAAAGAGGCTGAAAGAGGTGGTTCCAAAAGAAATCATCAAATAGATGGGTGTTGGTGTCATCTACCCTATTTTGGACTGCAGTTGGTTAAGTCATATCCAATGCGTGACAAAGAAGGGCGACATCATTGTTGTCTCCAGTGAGAGAAATGAATTAATATTGGATGGTGTATATGCATGGAATATAGGAAGTTGAACAAGGCTATACGAAATGACTATTTTTCGTTGTCATTCATAGACCAAATGTTGGATAGGCTTGCTGAAAAATCTTTTTATTGTTTTCTTGATGGATATAGTGGTTATAAAAAATAGGAAATGCACTGGAATATCAGGGGAAGACTATTTTTACATTTCCTTATGGCATATTTTCTTTTCGAAGAATACATTTTGGTCTGTGTAATACTCCAACAACATTTCCAAGTTGTATGATGGCTATATTTTTTGACATATTTGAAGACTTCCTTGAGGTATTCATGGATGATTTTAATGTTTTTGGCCAAAGCTTTAATTAATGCCTTGACACCTTACCTAGTATTTTGAAGAGATGTGATGAAACCAATCTTGTGTTAAATTAGGAGAAATCTCACATCGTGGTGATCGAAGGCATAATGCATGGGGCATCGTATTTCATATTGTGGCATTGAGGTAGATAAAGCTAAAGTGGAATTTATTGAGAAGTTTCCACCTTCCACCAATGTGAAATGAGTTAGGACTTTATTAGGTCATGTTGGATTTTATCGACGATTCATCAAGGATTTTTCCAAGACTCTAAGACCATTTTGCTCATTCCTAGAGCAAAATAGGAATTTTTTTGTTGATGATAAAGTTCTCCAGTCCTTTAAAATAATCAAGCTAAAATTAGTAAATGCTCATATTGTATTGGAACCGAATTGGAATTTTCCATTCGAACTTTTGAGTGACATTAGTGATCAAGCGGTTTGTGCAATGTTGGGGTAATGAAGAAATAAAAATCTTCTATTCTATACATTATTCTAGCAAAACCTTGAACGAAGCTCGAGTCAATTACACAACATCTGAGAAAGAATTACTTGTTGTTGTGTTATCCTTTGACAAATTTAGATCTTACCATTTTGGAAACAAAGGTGATTATCTATACAAATCATGCATCATTAAAGCATTTGTTTTCTAAGAAAGACAACAAATTGAGGTTAATGCACTACATGTTTCTACTAAAAGAGTTTGATATTAAAGTAAGAGATAAGAAGGGCTCCTAGAACTAAGTGGTTGATCATTTGTCCCGTTTGGAGTCAGGTAGTGAAGATGGGAAAATACTTATGATTCTCGATCATTTCCCGGATGAATTGTTTCCTATTATTAAAGTATTGCCTTGGTATGTTGATTTTGTGAATTATCTCATGAGTGGATTGTTGCCACTATATCTTAATCCCCAAGGACGAAAAAAATTCACGAGATATGTTAAAGCATATCATTGGGAGGATCCATATCTTTTCAAGCAATGCAATGACCAAATTTTGCGATGATGTATCCCTTAATATGAGCAGCAAAGTATACTACATCATTGCCATGAAGTGTCTTATAGTCGACATTTTAGAGGCACGGGCCCAACATCAAAGGTACTTCAATGTGGTTATTATTGGCCATCATTGTTTAAAGATGCTAATGAATTTGTCAAGCATTACGATCGCTGTCAATGAAGTGGTAGCATTTCTCATCGTAATGAAATGTCGAAGCAACATATTTTGGAGATTAAATTATTTGACGTTTGCGGTTGGACTTTATGGAACCCTACCCATTATCTTGTGGTAATCATTATATATTAATTGTTATTTATTATGTTTCCAAATGGGTCAAAGTTGTAATATTACCTTCGAGTGATGCTAAATCTGTATTGAAATATATTCATAAAAACATCTTCAACCTCTTTGGAACTCCAAGATAATTTATTAGTGATGAGGGTTCCCATTTCACATCCAAGCAAGTTTCTATTGCCTTGCACTGATATGGAGTAAATCATCACATTGCGACAACATACCATCCTCAATCTAATGGTAAAGCCGAGGTCTCCAATCGGGAACTCAAGAAAATTCCAGAGAATATTATGAATCCTTCAAGGAAAGATTGGTCTTTTCTCCTTGATGAAGCACTCTGGGCTTATAGAACAGCCTAGAAAACCACATTGGATATGTCTCCATTTGGCCTTGTGTATAGCAAATCTTGTCATTTTCCTATGGAGTTAGAGCATAAAGTAATGTGGTAACTTAAAAGACTAAACTTCTACCTCGATACTGACAACGAAAAGAGAATGTTACACCTTAATGAATTTGAAAAGCTTCGAAAAAATGCATATGAAAGTGAGAGAATAAACAAGGAAAAGAGGAAAAACTGGAATGACAAACACATCTTGTCGTGACAATTCCATGTTGGGAAGCTTGTGTTGTTATTTAATTCTCGTTTGAAATTATTTCCTAGGAAGCTTAAATCCTATTTGTTTGAGACATTCGAAATCATTGAAGTATATCCTCATGGAGTCGAGTTGTTAATGAACTTAGTATATGGAAGCACATTCAAAGTCAGTGGGTAATATTTGAAGCATTATTGTAACAATCACAACTCACATATTACTTCTATCACACTAAGCAAAATTCCATCTCTTTAATTTTCCTTTATTTTCAATAAGTCATTTTTGAAATTATATTAGTTTTTTATTTCTTTAATTTTAATGTTTATTTTTTATTTTCTATATAGGGAACGCCATGACATTGTCTAGTGCATTGATGGTTTTTATTAAGCTTTTGTTGCAAAAAAAATCTATAATTTTGCATGGCCTATGCTATATGGGATGCTAGCAGCAACGTCAGCTAAGCGGTAAAATTTTAATGCTAAAAAGGTAATAGTGGGTTGTCGCCCTATTTTTCACCCAATCATCAACACCGTCCATTTAAATTTTATCAAGCCATCCATTTAATTCTCATCCACCCATACACTTCAAAAGAAAATATAAAAATTTTATCTTTATCTTTTTAAATTTTAAACCAAGCATTTAAAATACCCCACCATCCCTAGTAACAAACCTTTACTTTTTCACATTTCTCTTTCATCTTCTCCTTCAGTTGTTTTCCCTTCCAAAACATTAAAGGTCTCATTTTTATTTTCTTTTTTCTTTCCTTTC